AGCCCTTCTCCACGCATCGATCCGAGCATGCAAGCCGCGACTTACAAAAATTTCAGCGAAAGAAAGAGAGGGAGGGCGGGAGAGACGAAGTGCAAAAAGAAAGATACATTTACAATGGTGTCCGCCCAAAATTACAGTTACACACACGATTTAAGGGCGCCCGCTAATCAGAGTACCGTTGCAGCCGCATGAAGAAGCGCGTAGACAAAAGGCGCCGTGCGGCAGGAAAAATCCTAATTACTGAATTCCTAAATTCCTATCTGATGCGAAAAAGCAAAAAGCACAAATTCCAGAAAGAAAGTCCGAAATTCCAAGAGCCATCGGGGGCTCGACAAAATTCGAAAAGATTCAAAAGGAAATTCAAAAGGAACGGAGCAATTTTCCGCGCGATGTCCGCGCCCAAAAGATCGAAACCGAACCGAAAGAAACGACCTCAACATTTATTAATCGCGTGTGTGGTGGCGCACCACACATCCATCCGACCAATTAATCAACCGGCAGTCCCAGGACACACCTAGCTCCAAACCCAGTCATCCGACAAGAAGCAACGAAAAAGACGAAAAAACAAAGGTACTAATGCAATTTTCCACCGATCCCGATCTCCCGTAATTGGCCCAACCTTCCCAGCTTAGAACCCCTCATTGCAACCGCGCAGAAAATCGCGCATCACAGAAAGTGGTTCGTCACATATGTGACGCCCAGGGGGTTCCATTATTAGCAAGCTCCTGCTTGCTTGTTGACACGTGTCGATTTCTCTAATCGATCGACACGCATAGTACTTCTCTTTATGCCACTTACCGTTCGATTGTGTGTGGACGTCATCCAACGTGGCAACACTGCTCTCCTACTAGTTCCTCAGATTGGGCTCTCGACGATCCAAGGACGGGATCTTTCTCGTGCCGTCGCCGCGACACGCGTCCATTACCTGTTGCCTCAGTAATTAACCGGGAGGGGGAAAGAGAGTCGGTACATGGCGGCATGGCGGGGCGGAGGGTTTATGGGTAGCGAGGGCAAGAGCCTTTCCATTCCGGCTACAGTCTCCGGAAGCTCTTGGTAGCGAATGATGCGGTGAAAGCGGGGGAAGCGGTTGCCAGTGCGAGGGAGGGACGCGAGATAATCGAGATAGAGGGTGGTAAGAGTCCGGAAAAGTGTTGTGCGAAAATGGTCACGATCTTCGCATGCGGGGATGGTCCCCATTATCACGCTGTAGACCTCGATCATATTGTGGCCTCGCCACGCGGCACTAAGGAGCAAGACATGGAGGCAGAAGGCTGGGACGGCGCATCGAATGGAGGGGTGGGGATGTACCACTATAGCGAGGCGAGCAGCGTAGAAGTGGCAGAAGGTGTCGCGGGGAAACGGATTGGAGGGGAACGTGATGGGGGTGGTGAGCTGGCGGAGGGTGAGGTAGTCAAGGGGACGGCGAGAGAGTAATCGGGGACGAAGACCGACCGCCCGTATCGGTACGTCGGCGAACTGGGGGACGGGTTGGGGAGGAGGGGAATCGGCTCCATCGCCGCGTTGATGGGGTCGGAGTTGTGGCCGCGAGGTCGCCATCTTCAGGCCGGGGCGGCTCCGGATCTCGGTTCGGGTCATCGTGGATCTGCAGACTCGCCTCGCTTACGAGCTCTAACTCTTTCCCGACCACGATTTCTTCTCTTTTGCGGGCCGCCTCGAGATCCTCCGCCTCTGTACCAGTACGCAGCGCTTCTTCCGGCACGGCTTCCCACTCCGATTCAGCAGGCTCTTCTTCGTGCTCCTCTTCTCCTTCCTCGTCTTCTTCTTCTTCTTCGCTCGGTTCCCCCTCGCTATGCTCACTACAGCTTCCCTCTTCGGGGGTTTCGTCTTCTTCACCGAGCTCCTCGTCGCTATCCCCGTCTTCCTCCCGCACGTCCTCGTCTTCGTCACTCCTGGTGCTTTCTTCTTCCTCCTCTTCTTCTCGAATGGCCGCAAACTGCTCCGCCGTAGGATGCTTGAAGAAGGCAGGATCGCGAATCGTCCGGGGATCCAAATATTGTTGCTGCGACAGCGGGATGCGCTCTGCGGCTCCCTCTACATAAGCCGACCACTGAAGATAAGGTGTCAATATGCGAGAAAGTACATGGGGAATTGGATGCTCATCGTTTTGTGAGATGATGTCGAGAGGGAGATCGTCCGCCAGCTGCGCCACCGGGATCGTGAGCTCTCGCGTGATGAGTTCCTGATGACCGGGCCGCACTGTACCGAATAGGAATGCGAGAAGCTCTCCCTCCACGTTGGTTCGCCAGGCCTGGATGAACAGCAACTCCAGGCGCTCTATGCAAGGCGGGTGCGCTTCGTCTTCGATCCACGTCAGTCGTACCTCAACCAAGCACAGTGAAAGCTCGATGAAGTCTTCGCACCACAGGACCCAATGGGGAGGATGGATATCGGGGACAGCAAGGGGCTTTAGACAGTAGGAAAAGTGAGGATGGATATCGGACTGCCAGAAGGTGGGGAAGGTGGAGGGGAGATCAAAAGCGGAGATCGGGGAGAGACTCATTGGGGACGTGGGAAGGGAATGAGGACAGGGAGATCTGTCGGCGGCTCTCGCTGATACATCCGCAGGCCGTCGTATTCGATCGCTCGTGTCGTTGCGACTATATCCCCTGGACGAGCTAGAAGCTGGGTCCACTCGGCGACCAGGTCGTTTGCCCACGCGCGCAGCGATGCCTTCACTGTGGAATGCCGTAGGGGAAGGAGCGTGGAGAGATCGCCCCGGAAGTTAATGACGACCGATATACAACTGACCCCTGGCACCGCTCGCTGATGGAATGCTACTGCTTCGGCCAGTACCACCGTGTCAGGCCGACCTTCGATTCTGAACACCGCCGCCACGTACACGCCTTCAGTGCAGAAGAAGTGCGCAAGCCGCCGAAGATCTGGACTGAGGCAGGGATGATAGACCTGCCGGATCGTCAATCGATCACGGGGTGCGAGCGCTGCTTCGCCGAGGGCTCTATCCTCCAGAAAACTCATGGCGATGGCGAGGGTGATGCGGAGGCAGAGATGGAGCAAGAGGAAGAGGGAGATGGCGGAGAGTCAGAGCCGTCGTCTTCGGCTTCCTCAAAAAGAGAGATCGAGGGAGAAGGAGACGGAGCAGAGGGGAGGAGGTGAAGATAGGATACGTGGCGTGTGATCGGACGAGCCAATCGACTGCCAAAGACTTCAGGGGCGAGACGCACGATGTCCACGCCGTTGGGACCGAGCTCGATCACGCGATATCGCCCGAAGAATCGTGGCGCTAGCTTGCCTTGGCGAGCACATTTCCTCACCTGCACCACGTCCCCCAATTTGTACTGGGGCCGCGGACCCACATTCCCATTTCGGGCCTCGTAGCTCCGGACCTGCCGGCCTTGGGCTAGTTCGGTCATTTTCTGTCGTTTTCGGGCTAGCCTGGGCAGTGACCGTTCCATTAGCTCTAGGTGCCGTTTGGCCTTGTCCCTAGCCGTGGCCCTGGTGGGCCCTCGGTTCAATGTAGACTCGTCTGGGAGGCTTGGTATTGAAACGCAAGCGACGCTATTGGTCCTTAATTGGAAGGGGCTTAGCCCCGTCGATTCGTGAGGCGTTCCGCGATGGACAGCCAGGATGTGATCGACGATATCGGCCCAGGGTCTCAGATCCCGTGCCGCGATGTTTCGTCGCAATGTTGTCTTTATCACCCGGTTAGCGTTTTCGACCAGTCCATTGCATTGTGACATGTGGGGTGCAGTGTTCCGTATGGCGACACCATGTATGACCAGATTCTTTAATACTCCTCCCCTGAATTCGGCCCCGTTGTCGGTCAGGATCTGTTCCGTATCCTGATGCATCCCGAGGAAACGGTTAACATATCGCGCGATTTCCATGGCTTGCCGCGTGCGACAAGGATACGCTTCGATCCATTTTGAGAAATGGTCGACAAATACTAATAAGACTGAATACTCGCAACTGTTAGGGCCAGGGGGCACCACTATGTCGGTAGTGTCCATACTGACTCTTTGAAATGGTCGTTCAACAACCGTGGGCACTATCGATACATCGTCGCCAACTGTCAAGTCTGTGCCGCTGATAAAGCGCCGATTCATTTGTCGATAGCGGATTCCGTGATTCGTACGGCAAAATGGGCCGCAGTTTCCTTGTGGGCTGTCTTAACCCAGTCATACCGCATGAACGGATGCGGTACCACCATCCAAATCCCACTGCCGTCCGTCTTCCGTTTTTCCAATCTACCTCCTATCCACCGATAATCCCAAGCCCTTTCGTTAGCCCTCCTCCGATCTTCCTTGGTGAAATCCTAGAGGGGATTACCTACTAGGGTGGCAATTAAGGCAATATCAGTCCATACCTCGGCCCTTCTAAACTTCCGGGTCCTTTCCAGCCCTTCTGACGTGGCATCCAGAAAGCGAGCCTCGGTCGGAATCTTGTCGGTCCGGCACAAGAGGCATAACCACGGTTTACTATCGTTCCTGTATTGGATGCACGAGCCATGGGCTCGCGTGACACACTGTCGGCAATCTATCCAGTCCGCATACCCTTCCCCGTTGGGACGCATGGAGACCGAATATACGTGGGAGGTAGCTTCGCAAAAATAGCAAAATTTGTCAGGCAGGGAGAGGAGAGACGAAGAGGAAGGGGGAGAGAGAGGGGTAGTGGGGTTACCTCCATCACCCATCGCCACCGTTTTGCTTCTTGCCACGTGGAAGAACTGCCACTTGTCCGTATTTCGGCTCGTTGGTCAAGTCCGGCTCTTTCCACGGTGTGATTTCCTCGCCCTTTGGTACCTTGGCAGGTCGATGCAGACGTGTCAACCCGTCCGCGTTGCCGTGTCGCTCTGTCTTTCGATGAACGATATCGAAGTCGTATTCTTGCAGTCGCACTGCCCAATGGCCAATCATGCCCATGAAGTTGGTGAGTTTCTTCAGCGCCAGCAGGGGTTCGTGATCTGTCACGAGGCGAAACTTATGTCCGTAGAGATATGGATGGAAGTGTTGGATTCCCCAGACTACTGCGTAGCATTCGCCTTGAGGTACGGAGTCATTTCTTCGTTGGTCCGGTACGGTGCGTGACGCGTATTCGATGACGTGTTCACGCCCATCGTTCCCCTTCTGCGCTAGAATAGTGGAAATAGCCTCCGGTTGCTAGTCCGTGATGAGAATGAACTGCTTTGAGGGGTCCGGCCGAATCAAAATAGGGGCCGTCGCCAGAGCGTCTTTGAGGGTTGCAAAGGCCTGCTGGCACTCCGCATCCCAGCTGAGAGGTTGGTCCTTTCGTAACAGATTCGTTAGTGGTCGTGCAATCACGGCAAAACCCTTGATGAAGCGCCGATAGTACGACGCCAGCCCCAAGAAGGCTCGAACCTGCGTCAATGACGTGGGAACCGGGGCTTCCTTCACCGCCGTAACTTTCCTCGAGTCTGGCCTCAATCCTCCACGTGTCACAACGTAACCCAATAACGAAATTTTCGAGAGGAAAAATTCGCTTTTCTCAAGCGCAATCTTGAACCCAGCGTCTCTCAACGCGCCCAATGTCCATTCGATGTGTTGCACGTGCCCGTGATAGGTTTCCGAGTAGACCAGTATATCGTCCATGTACACGATTACGCAGAAGTTAATCATCCCTTGCGTCAGTCGTGTCTTGTTGACGAAATTCTGGAACGTCATGTTCATCACTCGCTGAAACATGGCAGGCGCATCGCAAATCCCCATCGGATACTGAACCCACTGCCACGTGCCTTCAAACAACACAAAGGCCGTTTTCGGTCGATCTTCTTCCCTTACCAGAATATGATGGAAGTCGTGCCGAATATCAAACTTGCTGAAATAATTAGCACATCCAATTGCATCCAACAAATCATCCATCCGGGGGAGGGGATACACATCTTTGATCGTAATCTCATTCAACTTGCGATAATCAATGCAAATGCGAATCGCCTCGTTTTTCTTCGGTACTAACACTACGGGAAAGGTAGCGGGTTCAATCCAACCGCTGGCTTCAAACTCCCGAATTCGTTTGAGAGCCTTTTTGCGTTCAATCAAGGAATACTGATAAGGTTTGCAATGAATCGGGGAGTGATTTCCTGTCTGAATTTCATGTTGGATTACTAACTACAACCCAATGTCAGAGTCTGACACACTAATCGCTCCTTGATACTCCGTTAGAATATCCGCAATTACCCGGTGGATTTCATCCGGCACGTACTGTGGGACGTGCAGTTCGAAAAGTTGGTCCCAGATCCGAACGTCAATCTCTTTCATGCTCGCCTGTTTTGCCAAGTAGGGTGGAGGCGCCGAGATGAATGAATGGTCCGATCGCCAGGAGAACACTGTGGCCATCATCTGGGCATCTTCTTCCCGGATTGCCACGTGTCTTTCCGGGGTAATCCCGTCACAAACATCCCGCTATGGCACTTCCTTAGTTGCGATTTTTATCCCCAGTCCGTCTGTTTCCGCTTCGAAACGCCCAAGGGGGTTCCAGAGAGCTTGCTTCCGCCCCCAAGCGTAGCAATCTCACTTCTTTAGTCGATGTTAGTAAGGACTTGGGGAGATCCGTAATGTCACAGTAATGCTTCTTGTCGCTGTACCGAGCGAGGAGAGGGGCGATTCCTTCGTACAGAGTTTGAGGGGGTTCCAAAGAGTCCACCATCCTCGAAATCTGCACGAGGGGCTCACCCAAGATCATTGCCTTGGTCCTTTGAATTTTTCGGCTGGTCAGTTGCATCGTTCTCGCTATCATTTTAGGCGGCGGGTAGTAAACGCGTTGTCGTACCAATTTCAAGATCTCCGGATCATCTTCGTCACTGCTTTCCGCATCATCTGTTCATGACTTTCTCTCTGCGGATTCATCCCAGGAGATCATGCGGAGAGTCCCCGCCATCATCGGCGAAACCCGCAGAACCACGTTAATAGTAGTGCGAAGGGTCAATCGCATGGGCACAGCGTAAGGTTTTCCTCCTGTATTTCGGAGGACGATCGATCGCCGTTCGAAGTCCAGGTTTGCTCGTAACGCCACAAGAGCGGGAAGTCCGAAAAGAACGTCGTACGTATTGACATCTAGCACTACGACATCCCCAAGCGCGTGTACTTTACCCAATCGGAAAGCGACATTGGTCATTTTTCCCACGATTCTAATCTTTTCTTCGTCAGCCGAAACGAGCTGATCCTTCTCAGAAAGCATGATCAGGTCGTTCTTCCTTCTTGCCCTTTCGACCACTCTCAGTGAAATAGCCAACACAGCTGCTCCTGAATCTATAATCGCGTTCTAAGGAATCCTCCAGATTTCTATATCACACTCTGCGGATTTCCACGGAATTGGTTTAATCCATAGGAAGTGATCATCTTTCTGGATTAAACCGACCCGTATCGGATCCGAAGTACCTACTGGATTTTCTTTGGGCGCGGGGCTTTTGGCTTTTACATTCGGTGCTCGGGCGAGGGCGAATCGCTTTCGGTTTGCTTTGCAATGCTGTAGCATTCGCTCATTGGCTTGCTAAGAGATTGAGAGTAGATGACCGATCGGAAGTGGAATCCGGTGATCCAAGGCTCGGATGATGTTTAATACATCGATCTCTCCTGTGACGAAGGTGGGTCCTCCCGACTCCATTTCTCCTTAGGACGGTCGCCATTCCGCCACTTCTTTCGGTTCGGGTGCGGGTCTGATTGTTCCGATCATTCCAAACCAAGGATATCCCAGCGATATGTACTGATCTAGCGGAATTAGCTCGGCGGCCTCTTCCGAGGTGGCCAGGGCACTTCCCCCACCCTCTACTTCTTCCATCAAGGCTTCGACTCGTCCAGGTCCGTTAGCGATGGGAGCTGCTGCCATAGGCGCGACCCCGATTTGCTGTTGCGGGGGTCGGTGGGGGCAATCACGGGCTAGATGTCCGGGCTGATGACAGGCATAACAGACATTCAGATTGTTCGCAGCTCCTCCGAGAGCAGGGGCCGGGGCTAATCCTTGCTGCATCGGAGGGGCACACACCGCGATGGGCCGCATATTCCTCATCATGACCTCCAACCGAGCATTGTGCTCTCGCTGTTCTTTTTTGCTTTCCTGGATTAAACTAATCAACGTTTTGGTTAGTTCGAAAATGACCGCCGATTCGTTCGATCGTACGGGATCCTCAACCGGCGGCGGGGGTAATGCCCTGACGGGCGGGGGTATCATAAGAGCAGAGATGTTCGGAGTCTCGCTTAGGATTACTCGTTTGGGGCCTATCTGTTCCATATAGGTGACATGTCCTGATACAAATCCCATGTTTTCAAATTTGTTCTGCAAGGCAGCCAGCTTCGCTCTCGCTCGTGCGAGCTCGGTCGAATCTCCGTCTCTAGGGTAGTCTTCTCCTTCCAGGAAGTTCGCCGCGAACTTCCGTTCCATTTCTTCCACAGCAGCCATAATTTGTTGTAGCGTATGAGTGATGGGGGAAAATTGCTTTCGCAACTTAGCCCTGATTGTTCGACTGTGGAGTCCGTCAATAAACAAGTATCTCCCTACTTGCTCACCTCGCTCAGTTTTTACGAACATTCGGTAGAACCGGTTTCGATATTCCACAACGGATTCGAGCGGTTTTTGCACTCGGTCCTTAATCATGTACAGCGCTTGCTTAGGGTGGACATAATCAAATCGTTTCATGAAATCTCGTTCGAAGGTCGGGAGATCCACCCATACATAGGTACTATACCAATGATGAGCATCTCCTCCCATTCGAGCCGGAATGTTGATCTGTGCCTCTTGATCATCATACTGCTGTGCTCTAAGCGTGGCCAGCCATGCTCCTGCGAGATGGTGCACCGGATCAAATAGATAGAGATCTGGTGGCGACATGGGAGCTCGGGCACGTGGGGCAGGTTGATTAGGTGGATTAGCATTTTGTTGCGGAACCAGATTTTGCACATTG